TATATTTTTGAAGAATTTAATCTGGCCGCCCTCCAATTGCTAAACGTCAGACAGCACACGTAAATTGAACAAAGCACAACAGGTGTGAACAGAGAGATTTGTTGCTGCTGTTGAAGATCACTAATAAAAATTGGAACACAATGAAAATGAAAGAAAACGCGAAATTGAAATGTATGTATATGATAAAATCTTTTGTGATGCCATGCTTATTAGTATTAATTTTCAATTAAAAATTATAAAAAGCATTTATTCTTTTGATTATGTATTGTTCGTTCAAACATCAATTGTTTTAATATATCACAAAAAAGGGTTTAAATAGTATCTGCATATGTTTAGCGGATACATGTATAATAATATTTAATCTTAATAAATGTTGGGTATATTAATTTAAATTCCCAAAAATTATTATTTTGTCCGATACAATGTAAAATTTTATAAAAAACGCTAATTTTGAGGCGCTCTTACACTTGAAAGAGTTGGGCATCTCATTATCCCTGGAACAAAGCATACTTACCTAGCGTAGAGGTTACCGTGATCATAAAGACAGTTCCTCCGAAGCGCGGCTTGGCGCTGCACTTCGGCTGAGTTGACCTTCGTGATTATTTCTAATGCGAATAACTCGAGCGTGTAATTGGTAGCCGGGAATGGCGTTCGCACCTTCCCGACAAAATTTTTATACCCTGAACAGGGTATATTAATTTTGCCACGAAGTTTGTAACACTCAGAAGGAAACGTCGGAGACCATATAAAGTATATATATAAATGATCACCGTGACAAGCTGAGTTGGATTGCCATGTTCCGTCTGTCTGTCCGTCCGCCTGTCCTCCATCTGTATATACGCGAACTAGTCTCAGTTTTTGAGATATCGGATCTGGTAACTTTTGCACTGTCTTCTCTACAAAGCTATCTTGTCCGAACGGCGTGCCATGTAAACTGAACAATCTGGAATCAAGTTCCTGTATAGCTTTTCTCTTTGACGAGGTATGTTCTCAGAAATTCGGCATGGGTTATTGCTAGAAAAGTAAATGCAATCTCCGAAGAAATTGTTTAGATGGATCAACAGTTTTCATTTGACGAGGTATGTTCACAATATTTGGCTGAGTTTTTTCTAGAGAAGTAATGCATCTCAGAAGAATTGTTCGATCGGAGTCACTTAGCATATATCTGCCATAAAACTGAACGATCGGAATCAAGTAATGCATGGAAAACTTTTTCATTGCGAGGTATATTTCACAATATTTGCATGAGTTTTTGCAGGAGAGTAATATTAATCTCCGAAGAATTTTCACTCATGATTACTATAGCACGATAGCTGCATATAAACTGGAACGATCGAATCAAGTTTCTTGCATGGAGAAATTTGTTATTAGATAAATATTTCACGAATCCATTGATTCTCTCATGGGCATATAGCTGCGCCATACAAACGACAATCTAATAAAGTTCTATATGAAAAATTGTTTATGACAAGTTTTCATGAAATATGGCATGGATGATGATGATTGTCCAAGATATCGCTACAATTTCGAACAGATTGTTCATATCAGACCACTATATTAAACCAGCTATCATTAGAAACTGACCGATCAAAATAAATTTTTGTATGGAAGTTTTAGTATGGATTATTGCTTAAGATGTGACTTCATCTCGAACAGACATTGTTGAATCGGACCACTATAGCCAACAGTAGCACTTTTTAACCTTTACAGTAATATATTATAAACAAATCAATTAATATTATTTATATCTCCAATTTGAGCTTTCAATAAAAATTATCTATATCTGCCAAAAACTGTTTGCTTGTGCAAAAGTAAGGTGTGACCATGTAGTAATTGGGACAAAAGTTGAAAAATGTGTTAAGAATAGATACATAAGAGTAGACAAGAAAGTATTGGTATTACATTAAACCAAATAAAACAAATCCTACTATTCAAGATATATCTTATTATTTATTAATAATAATAGAGACATATCTAAGATAATTATTCAGTTTTAAACCCTAAATTAACTTGATGGATAGGTAAAACCAAATCAGGTAGAATAATGTAGGAAATAAATACTTCGAACGTAGGTAGAAAACAACCTAGGTAAACAACCTCGATAATGTACCCTTTTGGTAGTTAACGCTTAATATTTCCAATAAATTACTGTGATCAAATTTGGCATGGATTATTGGCCACATGTACAAAATACTAGAATTCTTTCTGATATGTATCACATAGTGCCTTACAACTGATCGATCTAAATAAATTTGTAAAGTAGAAACTTATGTTAGAATATATAATAAGAGTAAGGGCAAAAATATTATTTATTACCCATGAATAAATAAAATCCTAATTGTTAAGATATATTATTATTATTAAAATGTAGAGAACTATCTAAAGATAATTATTCAGTTTTAAAACCTAATTAATGATGGTGGTACAAAAAAAACCTAAGTGTAAGAGAGAGTGGGGAAGTAAACATAGTTTGCAAGGTTAGGTAGAAAGTATAACTAGGTAAAAAGGAACTATCTACAATGCACTTTCTGCGTGTACATTAGTATTCTACGAAAGTTGCTTGATGATGCCAAAAGGGCAAAACAGTTTACAAGATGGAGTCAGGTCTAAAGCAATTCATAATAGGACGCCAACGCATCGGATCCTCAGTTTGCAGGCAGCTAAATTCAGCAACGCAAATAACTTTCAAATCTAAGAAAAAACCTTTTGATATATACGCATTCTTTTAATTATTATTGATGTCTTAATTTATTATATTTTAGTATATTTTTATTTGTATAATATTTTTTAATAATTTTGAAAATGCCAAGGTATCTTAGGCAGATCGCAGGAACAACCGTCGCAATGTCTTTGAATCGAGCCGACGACAATTAGTCAAAATTTGGAAATAATAGACAAAGGAAGGATAATTTGTAAGAATTCGGCAGCTCAATTTGGAGTCCGCATGAGAGAACTCATGATGTTCTGCACGTTCCACTAGACGAGAAACTACTTTACAGAGAAGAGCAGCAGGTATTATAGTGGTATCTAAAATAGACGTTTGAATCCAGAATATATGAACAGCGGAGCAGGAGTGCAAGACACATGGGTCATTCAAAACAGGCGCTTGGATCGGAATGAGAGGCAGCGGGCAGGGCGCGAACAATAGGACATTCTATCAGGCGGGATCTGGAATATGAACTGAAGAGCAGCGGTAATACAGTAGGTCATCAAATAGCGTTTGAATCCAGAATATAGAGCAGCCGGAGCAGGAACCAACACCGCGGAACATTTAAATGGAGAACCAATCCGGATATAGAGCAGCGGTGCAGGAGCGAAACAATGGGTCATTCACAGCAGGCGCGTGATCGGAATATAGAGCAGCGGAGTAGGGCGCGACACATGGACGTTCTGGCCTACGGCGCCAGAAGCAACATAATAAGAGAAGAAGAGAGGCAACGAGATTGCGCATTGGAGGAAGTCGTCAGGAAAGATCAATAGAAGACGTGTGAGAAATTTAAGATTCTTCTGAAGAAGAGTGACCTGCCAGCAAACCAGGCAACACAACTAGCAAACGAGGGGAATCAGACGTTGGAAAGAGTAAAATTGCATAGATCAGATCACCGACTCGTCGGTTAGCCAGCGGGGCAAACCGAGGAGGAAATATAAGAAGACGTCGTGAACTTCCTCTGATGCACAGCTAGAAGAACAAGAACGTCAACGGTCGAGCTGCCAATATCTTGATATGTACGCATTGTTGATGAAAGAGACGCCACTATAGAAATATGCGTTGTTGCGGTGACTGGTTCCTCATCAATGAAAACTAGAAAATGTCAGACTTCAACAATAATTTGCGCGCATCAGAAGATGCTAGAAAATGTTTATCTGTCATCAAATTTTCGTCTTCGAACCAAAAATGTACAACTTTTTGCAACACATGCTATCATTGTACCGAAGGGCAAGATACAAATATCTTGCCTATCAGGAGGATTGGAGTTCTGTTCGGATATGTCCTTCAGGATTTAACGTGTTAGAAGAAAGCTGATATACCGAGATCCCATTTATGGCATCACTCCTTAGGATATGAACGACAATGTGCTGTCGTGGACGCGTGGTAGATATCCCATTTCAGTTGAGAGACGACACCATGCTTCCAGCATATTGTTAGTGCTGAGCGTCGATTGGAATTGAACAATTTTACTGAGAGACAGTGCGACCAGCAAAATATTGGAGGCACTAACTATCTGCTTTGTACAGAGTTTACGTCAAGCTAATATCCAAATTTCAAGTGGATTGGCTGGCAAATAGAAGTGAGAACTTCTTAATGTCCGTGAGGAAAATGTACCGCTTGAAATGGAAGGATTTAAATTCAGGTTGGTCAGGGAGACTAATGGAAGATAGTCCGTTGAAATCGATACATTGACGGGTTGCAAGGGCACCGGAACAAGGTAGAATGCCCAAGGTGCGACCAACGACGACGGATGCTCGGAATTGTCGTATCCAACGATTTACTGCGGAAAAAAGGGCATACAACCTATAGTAAATTGCGTTTGGGGATGACGCTATGATCGGCGTTGTGTGCGCGTGGGACGTCTCCTGTGTATTTTAATAAGTTCACCGAGTTGGAGCGCGTTAAAATGCAATTTCCATTTGCCTGGTAAAGATCTGGATGAGGAATACTCTGCAAATGTGAGGGATGAAAATTTTGTCAGCATACCTTAATCAGCATGATGAAGGCTATATATATCAAGACTTGATATCACTGATTTGGGAGGCAGAAAGAAAGTTTTAGCCTAAATCGCAAGTTTGGTTTGCCAATATTTTTATCACAATGTTGCTACGAAACAAATGGCCTGAGTTGTTAGTGCTATTGAAGAACTGGTGGATAATGTTAGACATTTCGGAAGGAAGCAACTGCTCTATCAAGTCTGAAAGGCGGGGCTGATAAGGACAGATCCAGTTGCATGTCAGGTATGTTCGACAAAATGTTCCGGCAAATGCTAAATTATTTCAAAACGGACTATTTGGAGAGAGATTTAGTAGTCCGTTACACTGGGAGTTTGGAATTTCACGCAGAGGATCACCATTGTCATGGCATGACTGGCTAAGTAACGCAATACAATTTGGAAAGTGATGGAATCCGCTAACAATGATGTTGAAATTTATCGATCGACACATCACAACCGATGGGGATGATTTGGACTAGCTAGGATTCATTCAGTATCAAAAGACACGTACTGGTCGAGCTTGCCTATGAGACCTACTGCGAATAACAGTCTGCGATTCAACATGCCATATCCGCCGATGCCAGGACAAAATATTTTCCTCTGGAGAATGAAGGAAGGTATTTAAGCAACACAAGCTCAATTCCAAAATCACAGGAATGTTAACTTCTAAGGATCTCCAGAGGAAGAAATATGAGTGAACTGCTTCGAAAATTTTTGGCGGATTGAGCGAATCAACATTGACTACGAAGAATACAACTTGCTCTTCGCTCATCGTAAAAAGCCAACACATTTTCCTAAAGAAAATTTTCAGAAGGCAATTTCAAATGCCTAAATAAAAATATCCTTAAATTGCATAGAGCAATATGGATATTCAATTCATTCTGGACGCACACGCTTGCTGCAGCTATATAATTAATTATATAAATAAATCCCATGAAGGATAATCATAACATTGAGGAC